ACTCAAAAATGAATGATCATTTATTCTCCGAACCTGTATTTCTTTCTTTTGTGGAACACAAAAGATATTTTGAAAAAATGTCTTGGTGTTTATTTTTTGTCCGTGCAATGAAAGTCTAAATTGTTTTGGACCACATTAACTTTCATAGTATGTGCTGAACCGTTTTTAAAAACAAACTCTTCCACGGAGGAAAGTAAGTCATACAGGTTTGGAACAATGTGACGCTGAGTAAATGATGACTGAATTTTTATTTTTTGGTGTACTATCCCTTTAACAATTTCTTTTTGCATAAAACACTTCAAACATTCTCTCTTTTTTTATGACATTCCATAAATGAGCATCATTATCTCTTAGAGGAAATGGTTGTTGCTATTTGTAGTTAAGTCATAACAATAATCTTGTCTGTTTGATTACAGTACTATGCCCATTTTTATGTTTTATTTACGAAAAGTTTAAATAAACAGTACTGTGCAGAAGTCTTAGGCATATTTTCACCTCAAAGAAATGTTTTTAAGCCAGTTATTTATATATTTTGTTGTAGTGTCACAGTAGGAAATATCAGTTTACATTTCCAGACATTGTGCCATTAATTGTAATAATCCGGTGAAATTTTTGAATGCACAAGGATTCTGACAACAGCCAATGCTCCACACGGAGGTCGGATCTCACCATCATGGATGCATCTGAAATTATATGAAGAAACAGAAAAAACAGAGACTAAGACTAGAAGAACTGCGGCAACGTCTCGAAGGTAGTGCCTGCCTGCCTGCAACGCAACAGTACTGTGAAAAGCACTTGTGTAAAAATGCTGTAAATGAGAAATGTTTTCAAAAATAATGTCATAATCATAAATAGATTGTATTTATCAATTCACTTTTATTAGTTAACTTTTTTTTTTCACTTTTAACAGTTAACTAAATCAAATCAGTAGGTGTTTAGTACCCTTTATGTTTAAAACAGCTTTTGTCATGGTATTGCACATAGTTTTTAGTTTTGCAGGTTTTTTCAAGCGTCTTGGAAACGTTGCCGCAGTTCTTCTGGTCTTAGTCTCTGTTTTTTCTGTTTCTTCATATAATTTCAGATGCATCCATGATGGTGAGATCCGACCTCCGTGTGGAGCATTGGCTGTTGTCAGAATCCTTGTGCATTCAAAAATTGAATTATTGACTATTATTGTTTATTGGATTATTACAATTAATGGCACAATTAATGTCTGGAAATGTAAACTGATGTTTCCTACTGAGACACTACAACAAAATATATTTTTTTGGGCGAAAATACTAGTGTGCCTAAGACTTCTGCACAGTACTGTATATATATATATATATATATATATATCAGAAAAGTCCTTTCAAATAAAAGAATTGAAGAAGAATACAGTTACAGTGTCTTTATTAGGTGTGTGTGTGTGTGGGGGGTGAGGAGTGCACTGGAAGTCAAGTGTGGTGTTTTATAATTCTGAGCATTTGTGATATATGCTTTATCTTAGTTTTCAACATGTCTAAGAGATGTTGAAAGTCCCAGACTTTTAACCAAACAGGATCTTTCCATCTCCATTGTAAGATAATCATGTTTTGTTAAACACCCAGATAAACATTTGGATTTTTGGGGGTCTTGTAGATGCCACTGTTTACTTGGAAATTTCTAACCACAGGGCATCTATGATTATTCTGAAAACCCTTAGCTTCCCATGACATGTGTTGACATAAATCAACAGCATGTCTTTCTTTGGCTCTGGCATGAACATGTGCTTTTTAGGTTTTTCTTGTTTTTATTAATTTATTCTCACACACCAAGTAAAAGGAGGTAAATCAAGCAAAAATTAAAATATAATGGATTTTTTTTTTTTGCTCACTGTCATGTCATTTCAAACATGAATGTCTTTCTTTTGCTGTAAATGAGTGAAATTATGGACTTATAGTTTGAAGGCTTTGAAACACAAAACAATAGGATTTTGAAGAATGTTAAAGTATATTTAAAAAATGTTTTGACTGAAGTCAGTGTGGTCCAAAAAAACATTTTTAAAAGACATTCTTTTTTTGTTTGACAGAAGAAGAAGTCAGTTATACAGGTTTGAAACAACATGACCGTGAGAGGAAATGCTGACAGAATGTTCATTTTTGGGTGAATATGCTCTTTAGTGCGTTTTGGTCACCATGTTCATCTCATACCAATTAAGGCATTATGTGGCTTTACAGTGATTTAAGAACCACAATGCCATGAGCACATGGAAGAAATGTCTCCAGGGAAATACTGGATGTTTTTTATAAACAGCGATGTGTAATTACTCCGCAGAGCACTGATAAGGTCCTTATAATAACAATGTAGATATCCTGACATAGCTTCCACTAGACCAGAGCTCTAGACTCGCAGCCCTGCCTCAGTGAACAAAACGCAGCTCAACCCTTCCCTCACTGTCACACCAGACAGCAGAAGGTCAGTGTATTCTGTGTGTCCTACACCAGGATGGCCAGGTCCAACTTGGCCCAGAAGACCTGTAACTGGATCGTGGCTCTCCTCACGTTGTGGTCCATGGTCTCTCTGATCGTCATTGTGGTTTGGGCCACCTGGTCTCCATTGGCTAGCCTTGCACAATGCAGAGCAGCACATCAGGCCTTAATTGAAAAGATAGAGGGAGCTGAAGTGATGAAGGAAAAAGACCAAAATGTCTTGAAATCCGCACTGGAACTGAGCTCTAAAAACCAGACCAGACTGCAAGAAGAGCTGGAAAGTATTCTAGAGAGCCAGAGGGAAACCAAGGCATCTCTAACCGAGACTCTGCAACTGCAAGTGAGTAACAAAAAGTGATAAATGTTTTTAAATTGTCTGTGCTGATGCTTGGTAGGCCTGTATATCAGTATACGATATATATATTTAGATGTAATACTGATTTTATTGGATTTTTTGTTTCTATTTTAGATGATCCTAAAGGAAAATGTAACAGCTTTGGAAAATCAAAGACTGTGGCTCCACAGTGAACATGCAAGACTTTTTTCAGAGCTGGCTCAACAAGAGGGTAAGATAACCTAATATGGTAATATTTCTCAAAATTATAAATTGGCTATTCTTTCTAAGTGCAACTTCCAGACACACACACACACACACACACACACACACAACACTGATATATTATATATTTGATATATAACGCTGGTTTTATGTGCATGAGCTAAAGTTTCATTATAATGTTGATCATGGCGATATAAGATTAAATTGCCATTTCACTTCAGAATAGAACAGGTGGGCCTAATAAGTGTATGAAAATTGTTGTTTTGCTTCGTGCAGCTCTTATTGAGACTCTGTGGGTGAATCTGACCAGTGAATCACATCATTTGGATTCGTGTGAGGCTTTACGGGATGCCGCAAACAGCCAGCAGGTGGCAGCAGAGAGTCAAAGGAAAGCCTGTGAATACAAAACAACTTACCTTGTCAAGCAAATGTGAGTGATTATAATCCGACCATAGGCATAATAAATACTTTAGACGCCCCGGTGGAGCGTACGTCAACGTATTATTGTATAACAAGTAACGAGCGTACAATATTGCGAGGGGCAACTTTCTCATAAGTTAGCCTACAAATCGCCACACAATCGAAAACAGGTCTCGATGAATTTCCTTTTACAAGCAAGACTCAAGATTTGTTTCTGGTTGTATTTGGTCATAATTAGTAAAAGTAGAAAAGCCGCAAACTTAAAAATACTTTTTCGTCCCGAAATGTAATTTTAATAGTTTTTCAGTCAACAATGTAGTTGTTTAAAGCTCAAATCTGTGGTTTATTTATAAATATAGTGCCTATTTAAAAATTTGATATGACGTTTTTTGAGTTGTGATATCCAGGCGTTCACCGGGCGCTTAGCGCTCAGCACCCCGCCTGAACAAGCTTACCTCTGCTAGTGCTCTGACGTTTTCCGCTGGTCTGATGTCTCTAGTTAAACATGAGATATACTTCGTCTTGTGTATATTTAATGGGCGATCTTTGGTCTCACAAAAAGAGACAGGGTTGTAACATTTTATTTTATATAGCTGTGTAGGATTCATCTTCACTGTATGTAGGCCTAAAATAAAATTACACAAACTTTAAGGTACACCAGGTAACGTTACAAACCACTGAAATCAGTTGATAAATGTATTATTATTATTATTAGTAAGTAAAGACAGTAAAAGAGGTTTTTATCCAGAAAAACCGCAGCTCACCGTTACTTGCAGTCTTGCCCTCTGCAAAATGCCGTTGACGACGCATCGCAGCAACATCTATTTTCTTATGTCAATGAATTCAACCGTATTGATTCAAGACGTTTATTTTACAGTGCACTGTTTCATTTATTTCCTTATCTATTTTGCAGAGAGCACTGTAAAGTTAAAGGATGAGGAACCGAAGACTTCCAAAACCGAAGAAAACTGTTACAGACACCGACCACAAACCTTAGCTTATAAAGATATTGAAAGTGCTTTAAAGTATTACTGACACAATCTCCTTTATAACGAGACATTCTGAGATATTTTTATGGTAAAGTGAAATAAATAATGTAATAATAATATTGTTGTTGTGTGTATAAATTTGGGAGGACATGGAAAAATAACTGATTTAAAAATATATATAAAAAATAGATCTATATGACACTTTTTCCCCCATATTTTTAAAATGAATTCCTATTATCAGGACATACCAGTAAACATATTTATATTTCTGTTTTAAGCTGAATGTACTTTTGTTAGTTGTTTTGTTTGTTGACACCTATATTGTCTTCAAAACTGGTTTATATAATGGGTTATATTAATTATGTAATTGAATATGTAATTCAAAATTCCATTAAATGCAGTATTTATTAGAATAATTATTTTATTGTGATTATTTAATTAACAATCAAAATGAGATGAATTGAATAATGAATACAATTGTTCTTGAATTGCTTTAATAATAATTATTAATCATTATTAATAATTATCCATTTTCAACTTCAAAAACATGAAAACACTCAGGAAAAGGAAAAGGGGAAAAAAAGAAAAATATATTTTGACGTTCAAACCATCTATGTACAAACCGACTTCCTGATCACGTGATTACGACCAAGCGCTTCGTAAACTGCTGAAAATTTAATAAGTAAGTGTTCTGATACAATCTCTCATATTGCGCATACATTTTATATTACAATTTCTTAATTTGACTATTTTGAAACAGTAGCAAACGAGTCTGTAGATTTTCATGATACTATGACAAACGCTGGTTGATCGTGTTTACATTGGTTTTCCATGGACCTGCTAATGCTAATACACAGCGCTTCGAGTCCGAGTCAACACGTCTGATGTGCTTAAGATACTTTCTTTCATGTTGCATTTTATGTGTATATCGTCGTATCTGCCATCTTACGATTTTTATACGGTTGAGCTTTCTAATGTTTTTTTAACCTAAAGTAACGCTACTTGGGTTATGTCAGTTCCAGTAACGTTATCTCAACAAACCCAGACGATTACATGAACTAACAGCGGTTTTAAAGGCTTTATTTCTCAATATTCTTATGTATTTATAAGAATATATTGGATATTGAAATGCATTAACCAATCATTAATACCATTGATCAGCTCTACCAGTACCAAACGTGGATGTTTTTCTATTAAGAAACGAACATTGCTGTCAACAACACTGTGAAGCTGCTTTGATGCTATCTATATTGTGAAAAGTGATATATAAATATATACTATACTTGGCTTGAATATGATCAGCGTTAAGTTGATAACTCTGTGATACAATTTATGGAAATGTCTTTTCATTTATTTGGTAGTTCTAATGTAGCCATGCATATTAAGTATTTACAGTAAAAGGTCTTTGTTTACTAGGTTTATTAGCGAACTCTTAGTTGCTATGTGTCTGTTGCTAAACTTATGGCAAGTTGGATATATGTCCATGACACTTTTGACAACTAACATGAGTAACAGACCTCTCACTTTGTTTCTTTGCATCCCAGCATAATGAGACCAACCTTGGTGGTGCAGATGTGCTGAGACATCAATGGTTGCAGGAATGAGTTCGGCAGACAACTTGTCCTCACGCCACCGAAGAAATCCTCACAGGACCTGTCGCACTATTTCTGAAGATTCTGCTAAACTTAAACCTGTTTCAAGCGACAAAGCTTCCATCTTGCATAGTAAAGAAACCACAGCATTTAAAGGTCTGAATACTACAGAATCATGCGGACAAAGAACGACCAAGAAGGAAAAGGAGAAACCTCAAAAAGCAAACCAAAGTGCTCCTTCTGACTCTTCAGCTTGTTTACAAAATTCAGAATATGAACTAAGGGGTATAAATGGACTGTCTTCAAAGTCACATAAACCTGAGCCAAAGTTGCCTCAAAAAATTACTACCCCTAAATGCCCATCAAAGACTTCAAAAACATCCCACAAGGGAAGGAAAAAGAAATGTGTTCAATCCAATGAGAGAGAAGTAGCTGCTAGCAAAGCTTGTGGAGATGGACTGGACAATTCTGTACACAATTCGTGCCCAGAACAACTCTTAAGCTCCCCAAAAACAAAAGCAACACATTATCGGCACTCTAAAAACCCTCAAAATCATCAAACCCCTTCTGATGTTTCTACAGGGCTTCACACGTGTACTACATTATCTCCTCGTCATCACAAGGAGTTATCCTCCTGCCACACTAATGGTGATTGTACTTCCAGACCAAGCACCCCAAAACGGAGCTGTGTCCAGTCCAGACCTCTCTTAAGCTCCACACCGAACTCAGACCTCCACCCCCTGTCTCCAAAAAGAACGGAGAATAGTTGCACACCACAAAGTCATCAGAAAGTCAAAGTGTCCAGTCTAGTAAAGGTTTTTACGAAAGCAATTATAGCATTATTGAACTGTTGTACAAATTCCTGGCTTAACTATTTTTCATGTGGTATTCTTATTAGTCACCTCTTCCGGAGGCTACGCCATCAAGACCACAAAGAATCGCGGGACCAGGAAGGCCTAGAGGTCGCAAGAAAAAGAACGTGCTGGAACAGCCAAGTGCCTCTTCACCAGTGAAACGCTGCAGGAAGAGAGCAACATCTCCTGTAAAATCTTCTGAGGGAGAGCCATCCTTTGAGACACAACCTTGCATTGAATCCCAGGAGCCAGAGCCACTGAAATCGGGTATACATCATTTTTGGGCAATATAATTTAGTCTATGTATTTACATCTAGTACATTTTATCACTTTTAATGTTAATAGTTGTAAACAGAGCCTCAGATATATGATTGGATTGTCATTTTCTTCTGAAATCAGTCATTATAATGATATAATGTCGTGTCATGTACCTAGCAGATCAAACCATGTCCCCTGACCTCTCCATCGAGCTGAGCCTGCAGGAGGAGCCTCATCCTCTTAACCACTCTGTCTTCATGCAGGAGGAAGAGGACCAGGATGATGATGAAGAGGAGCTGCCCAGCTTTTTGCAGCAGGACAATAAAAGTGAGAGCCATCCTTGTTTATGTGTCTATTCATTTTTTTGGCCAACGCTTTGATAATATTTGGCAATGATATTTCATTTCCAGAGCCTTTGTCAATCTCAGAGGGACTATGCGTGTGGTGCAAATTGAGAAAATATCCCTACTGGCCAGCAGTGGTAAGTACAACATACGATTTTGTGCAGTCGTTGATTTTGTGCAGTTGATTTTAGACTAGTGTGCTCCTCTTTGCCACAGGTTAAAAGTGTGAATCACAAGACCAAAAAAGCCAGCATTGTATTTATTGATTGTTACCTAATCGACCAAAAGAGAATTAGAAAAGGGTAAGAATTCATCAGTATCTCTAAAAATTCACTTATTTTTGGTTTTTGTATAGTAAATTATTCCTTTTTGTTTATCTGCAGGTTTTCTGTACCCCTGCGAAATCTAAAACGTTTTAACTGTGATGAGTTTGAAAATTTGGTGGTAAAGTAGCATCTCTTTGACCGTTTGCCATATTATTTAGCTTTTTCAGAGTGCATGCTCACTATTTTATTATTTCTGCTGTCAGAAGACATTGTTACACTTAGTATATACTACAAGATATTTTTATTGACATGGTTGGCATTTTCTTTTTAATATCTCTTTTAGGACCTAGCAAAAGAGAAGTATGGCAGTGCTATTACCTGGTCTCTGGAACTGATATCGGACTATAGGATCCGCATTGGTATTTATCTTAAGAACTACTAGTACTCAAGTATTTAAACATTTAATAAAAATAATATGAAGCAGAATCAAATGTGTGAATATATTAATATTTATCCAAATGTACAAACTTTTGGACTTAATGCCCTAATGTTGTGTATTGAACACAAATAATCCGGAGCATATATGCCTTATTGTACATGAAATATAAATAATTGTTTGATTGTTTTTGCTTGTTGATTTTGGAAATTACTGTCACTGTAACTTCAACAATCACACATAGTGGTCAAATATCGAAACTAGAGTCCTCAATCTTTCTAATCATACATAGGTTGTCAAGATTAAATAATGTCATGGTAATAGTGTGCAGTGAATGTAATCAACTGATATATGCTTTTGTATGCACAGCAGGAATATGAAATTATATAATTTGAGCCTTCTCTCACACAGTGCTCTATTTGTATGTACTGAGATTTTGCTTGTGAAATAACACAAAAAGATAAAAAATATTCATCAAATATATAAAAAAGTGAAATTCAAACATTAAATTCTGATGTTTCCTGGCAGGATGTGGATCCTTCTCTGGCTCCTTCATCGAATATTGTGCTGCTGACATCAGTAGGTTTCCTTTCATTATATATTTTCACGCTCATTTAAATGTTTGTAATTTTATGTTAATTGTTGTTAATTTAAAGATTTAAGATCAGATGCAATTCAGTTAGTAAAACATGAATTAGCACAAATAAAACAAATAATGTAGATACATATTTTAAAGGGTTATTTCATCCAAAAATGAAAATTATGTAATTAATGCCCAAGCCCGTAAGACCTCCGTTCATCTTCTGAACACAGTTTAAGATGTTTTAGATTTAGTCCGAGAGCTTTCTGTCCCTCCATTGGAAATGTATTCACGGTATAGTGTCCTTGTCCAGAAAGGAAATAAAGACATCATCAAAGTAGTCCATGTGACATCAGAATGTTTTGAAGCATCGAAAATACATTTTGGTCCAAAAATAACAAAAACTACAACTTTATTCAGGATTGTATTCTCTTCCGGTTCTGTCGTGGGCCGTGAGATTTCACGTAGGCCGTCGTGTGTGACGTACAACCTAGAAGCTTTGTGTAGTTTCACGGCGTGAAATCTCGAGGCCAACAGAGAAGGAAATCAATAGTTGAATAAAGTCGTTATTTTTGTATGTTTTTTGCGCACAAAAAGTATTCTCGTCGCTTGATCAACTTAACAATGTCTTTCATAACTTTTGGACTGGCTAACAAGTGTTCCAGCTCTCAGATTTAATCAAAAATATCATAATTTGTGTTTCGACGATGAGCGAAAGTCTTACGGGGTTGGGACATCATGATGGTGAGTAATTACTGACAGAATTTTCATTTTGGGGTGAACAAACCCTTTAATAATGAATACAATGACAAATTTATCTGTACATTAAGATTTCATTATTAAAATAAATGAATGGTACATTTTGACAAATTTTGTTCATATTAAATATAAATATTGCAATATAAAAATGTATTAAATGGAAAATAACCAATACTTCCATATTTTAGATGAATTAACATTGTATTTGTAGTACTCCGTGTTTTGTGGTAATAACTTTAACGATTAATCAGTTAATTGATTGATAATTGTAATGATAATTGACTAAAAATTTTAAATCAGTGTAAACCAGGTTAAAACCTCTTTATGAATCAGGTCAGCCTCCTTCACCAGTGAAATGTTCCTTTGATCTGATGATCCCAGGTTGCCCAGTGCGGAGGAAGTACTCTGAGAAGAAATCTGTACTGACCTTCCCCAGTCAAGAGATTCTGGGCGAAGAGTGTGACAGCTCCGATAATAACATGGAGGACATCGTTTTGGAGGAGCAGGATGAGCTCCTCACCAAGAAAGTGTTGCCCGACCGATCCAAGGCTGCACGGAACCGTGCCAATGAGTTGTTGATTGACTTTATCATCAGACAAAAAGTGGAAAAACGCTTACTGGTAAGATTTTTGTTGGTGTATTCATAAATACATTTATATTGATGTATTGAGACAGGTTCATGTATGCACACAACTAAGGCCCCGTCCACACTACTGCGTTTTCGTTTAAAAACGGAGACCTTTTGCTACGTTTGCACCTCCCGTCCACACTAAAACGGGAAAAACGAAGACCTAAAACGGAGAAGTTTAGAAACGCTGCAGCTGCGTTTTGTGTTTTGAATCTCCGGAGGGCGTTTTAGTGTGGACGAGACAAAACGGAGGAGTTTACAAACGATGACGCAGAGGCTAACGCTCGGCTCTATGATTGGGTGTTATCAGTCATGACGTATCTTTTCCTGATTCGCCAACCACTGTTTACACCGGCGCGCGCATGCCCAGTGTTGGTGAATGGTCACGTGATCCACGTTTTCAGTCGTTTTAGTGTGGACGGAGATAAATTCTAATACGCAGGTAAAACGCTAGTGTGGACGGAGATCGTTTTCGTTTTAATTCTCCGTTTTTAAACGAAAACGCAGTAGTGTGGACGGGGCCTAACCCTTCTGTCTGGTGCACACAGGCAGTCATCAGCGGTCACGAGACATCTAAATGGATGCAAGCCCTCCAGAAGCCTTCTCGCCCAGTGGTTGATGTCTATCTGGAAGATGAGGAGCAGGTTGATAAGGTGTACCGCTACCTGAACAAAGTCTGCGATAGCGCACCTCAAATAAACACCTGCCTAGAAAACATCCAGGTGGACCGGATCCGGCTTATTCTTGATGTGCTCCTGCCTGAGGTAATTGCCTTGAAGGGTTAGTTTACCCAAAAATGAAAATTCTGTTATCTCTGTCAACTGAGAAGAAAGAACTGGAGAAAGTAATAATACTATGGAAGTCAATGGGGCCCATCAACTTCGGTTTGGTTTCCGGCATTCTTCAAATTATCTTCTTTTGTGTTCTGCAGAAGATCGAAATGCATTTAGGTTTGGAACTAACTTGAGAGTGAATACATGATGACAGAATTTTCATTTTTGGGTGAACTAAACCAATTTATACAACTTTTAAATGTTTGGGGTTGGTTTGATTTTTTTTTTTCATGTTTTTAACTACACTTTTGATCAATTGAATGCATCCTTGCTAAATAAATGTATTAATTACAAAAAAATCTCACTGGTAGTGTCCAAGGTGACCATGTTCCGGCATCATTCATAGCCATGTCTCAGGGACCGTTTTGCTTTCTAGGCTATTATCCATGCCATCGCTGGAGTCCACAAGCTTTCCCTGGAGAAGGCAGAGGAGAAGTATCGCAGAGGGCCGTGCTTTAGTAACAGGTAGAGTATTTTTGAACTGACTTGAAAAACTGCATCTTGCATCTGTTTGAACTGTTTTTCTTTCACTGCGTTTTAGAGAAAGACAGGAGTTTGACATGATGATTGAACAGCAGATGAAGCTCAAGGAAATCACACAGCGCCATAGACGGTGACATCCCCTCTGTTTCAAAGAAACAGTAACTTTTACGAGCTTAATTTATACCATTTATTCCCAGGAATATTTTCTCAAATGTTTTTTTAACAGCATTAATCATAGTATATAGGAAATGAATGATTTTCATGGGAAACAATTATGGCTAAAAGCTGAAAATGTTATTATGCATTTTTTTATTGTCAGATCTCTAACTTTGTGAGCTGAATGGTGAATCTCTGACATCTTGATGCTGAAATCAACAAAATACAGTGCTTTTAATGTCTGCAGTGTGTGTAATAAATAAATACCCTGTACATAAATACAACGTTTTAAAAACAACGTGGTTCATGTATTCCTCAGTTTAACTAAGTGTGTGCAAGGGATGTTTGTAACTTTAACTGAACAATATCAAGTTGCTTTTACAATAAACACAATTGATGTCTCTAAAATGTTGCCTTTTAGCCATCTGACAATTCACAATAAGATGGCCGTGCACAGAGGCTTTTTCTACATTTTGAGTTCTGGTCTAATGTATATAAAGATTTTATACAGGACTTGATTGTTTATCAATAAATCTTTATTTTTCATCACACATTATATACTCTGTATTTTTGTAAACATTTATGTCATTTAAAGACTTCCTTTATATTTAAACAGTGTTATGTTTTTTTTAATACTTTGTACATTATGTGCCAAATTGTGGCTGTGCAGCAACATCATTCCTCATTCTTCACATTCTACCCTTAGTTATAGATGTTATACAAATCTTACCTTACAGTCAGATTGAATGAAATGAAATTAAAGTTAAGTCCACCATGAAATTTTGAGGTATAAGAAGAAGGTCCCCATGAATGTCCACGGTATTTGTAGAATGGCCACACACTGAAGTCATGGCACTTTGAAAGGAAGCTGACTCAGATATTGTGCGACAGATTAGGACTGGCTGTGGAAAGATGAAGCTAATTTTCTTTGAGAGCGTTGATCTGTGCACAGATTTTGAGCGCAGGGCCCAGTTTCATGTTCATAGCACTCATGAGGTGGTCCTCTGTAAGCAACAACAGGGCCTGTCCGTCAATCTCCTGTGACCGGAACTCTGCTGCAATATTATGGCACCCTTAGAACAAGTGGAGGAGATGCAAAGATGAGCATATGATTCTAAAGATAAAATAATAATATATAACATTAGATGCTCAATGTAGTCACAGTTTAAAAGTGAAGTGTGTGACTTTCAAATATTTTCTGTTTTCTTTCAAAAACTTATATTTATATTATTTTTCTAAGGATTATTTTTATTCTTTTTCAATCGTTCAGGGCTTTTTGGGGCCCTTAAAACTCCTGAAACTCTGCACACACGTAGGAATCATCAGCCCTCAGGGCCAGGCCAAAACTGGTTCACGGGCGTGGCAGGAATGCAGTCAAAAAATTTGGTCCATATATCATTCATACTTGCATGTACATGTATGAAAGTAGGTACATATGTGTGTGTGTGTGTGTGTGTGTGTGTGTGTGTGTGTGTACACGTCACATGATAATGACAACATGGCAAAGTAGTACATCCAGATTACATTAATTCTATATGGAAAGTTCTTAACTTCACACTACATTCAAAATAAATGTTTTTATTCATTCAACGCCACCTAGTGGAACAAAAAGTGTACTGCGTTTCTGAAACCTTTGCAGCTACCTGGTAAAGAGCCGATGAAGGAGCACACTTGCTCCACACTCCACAGTGAGGGACTTGAGTCAAGGACACAGTCGGAGCTGCTGCAGCTCTCCTGTCTGCTCTGTTCTCTTTCACTGTCTTGCTGCTTCTCTCTTTTGGCCTGCAAACGCAGCCTCGTTGTCATCGGCCCTGGCGAATCCTCCTCTCTCTCGATCCACATTGAATTGGACACTCTCTGGTTGTCGTTGGAACGATGGGAATCTTGCAGCTGCTAAGGACATCATTTGTTGTATTAGGTCAGTCCCACTTATTAATTATGGTTTACCAATGGGTTGCATAGTTTGGTTAAGGTTAATTTTCACTGACCTGCTTGAGGTAGTGTTCCCTAGACCCCGCATGTACGCGACTAGGTGGTCTCCCCCGCTTGCCCATGGGTCTGTGGAGCCAGCGGACAACTTTTTCTGGCCTCAACAGGTTTAGACGTTTTTTACAGCTCACGTTGAATCTGTAAGATAAACAAGTCTGCTTGTACTGCAGTATATAGTTTTATGAACACATTGACTTAATCCTAAAAGTTAAGTTTATAATCCTAAATGGTTTTTTTTTATCACCATTTTGCAAGATGTAAACAACACTGGTCCAGAAGCACTTCCTGTTTCAGTTTTTTAACACTACATAAAAGCTGGGATAAAATACAACCAACAGAACATATAAACCTGAATCAAAAAGTTAAAACAAACATCTTTAAGACGTTTTCTTTACATGTGAAATAAAGAAAACAGTTAACTGAAACAGGAAGTGTTCTGGACCAAGTTGTTTACATCTTGCAAAATAGTCTATACAACACCACTATTCAAAGAAATTCATATTTTTATTCAGCCAGGATGCATTAAATTGATCAAAATGAACAGTAAAGACTTTTCCTTAAAAAAATCAATAAACTTTCTATTTATCAAAAAATCCCCAAAAAGAAATGTATTACATTTTCACAAAAATATAAAGCAGCTATTTTCAACATAGATAATAATAGGAAATGTTTCTTGGGCAGCAAATCAGTATATTAGAATAATTTCTGAAGGATCATGTGACACTGAAGACTGGAGTAATGATGCTGAAAATTCAACTTTGCATCACAGGAATAAATTACATTTTAAAATATACTGAAATAGTTTTAATAATAATATTTCACAATATTACGTTTTTTACAGTTATTTTTTTATCAAATAAATGATTTGACAATAAGAGACTTCTTTACATTAAAAACTGTAAAATACTTGTAATATTCAGTTTAATATTAAAGTTTACAGGGTTAGAACAGGAGTGTCAGATCCTTCTCCTGTATACCCTTCAAAGTTCAGCTCCAGCCCTGATCAAACACAACTGTACCAGCTAATTAAGATATTCAGGAGCACTGGATAGGTACAGAGAGGGGTGTTAGATCTGGATGAGACACAGAAAGTGGCTATCCATAAGGCTCTTTACCTTCTGACACATGTTATGGAGCAGAAGCGTTTGGATCTGAGGAAGGTACGAGCGAAGCCTCTCTTCCCACAGAACTCGCATTCGAGTACGTCAGGCAGGTTTTCAACTCTCTGTTCTGAAAGCAAAAGAGATCCTGCCAGAAACGCTCATATTGACTCAATGCATAATTAAGAAATGTGCTAATGAGCCCACCATCCTCAGCGGGTGTGTTATCAATGTCGGAATCAGTGGAGTTTTCTGGATTGTCCGCATCCATAAGGCAGTCATCCCGGGCTGATGGTTCATCCTCTCTATCTTCTGGCAGTGTGGCCTGCAGGTTCATCTCTAAGGAAGCACGTCTCACCTGAAGAAAAAGACCAGCACATCAATACAGGACATACCAAACATTTTTTGAGATGCCTTTTGTGGTTTTGACTTCTGAAAGTGTGGAGCACTTTGCGAAGGTTCCCAAAGGGGACTTTAATAACTGGTTGATCTGTGCGCTTGGCCGCAGACCCTCTCCAGCCATCTTACTCTCAGCTCTCAGGGAACGAGAGATCTTTGAGCTTCACGGCTCCATAAGAGAACCATGGGCTTCATTTAGGCTTCATGGCAGCTGAGAATTGCTACGTCGTCAACCAGTGGACATACCGGGAACGGCTCCTGGCCCTCTCGGATGACGAAGCCCTCAATGAGGTGTGTGAGGATGTGAGGTCTAACGATGGCCTGTGAGGGCTGACCCTCGGGGTTCCCTGGAAGGCTGGCTGGGGGAAGCCTGCTGGTGCTTCTTACCGCAGAGGGGAGGAGGGGAGGGGGAGAACTGTTGGCATATGTGGGGTCCTCCGGTGACCGGATCACAGATCTACTCGATGGAATGCACGGTTGGTCCGGATCGGCTATGGACAGAGCAGGGGTCAGGTTAGAGATCTGCAGAAAGGTGGGAGGACCACATTGCCTATCTTTGATATGGGTTCAATGTACCTGTACAGTTTTCTGGTTGAGCCGTTACATCATCAGAGCTTCTCTGTGACTCGTCTGGTGGGGACAGTGGTGGCGGGGTGGGCACTCTGATATACTGAGGACACACGTGTTCTACATCCTTCAATAAATTCATGCTTCCACTCTCCTTCAACAATGGCATCGCCTGCCAAATTTCAGAATAAGCATATATTTTACAGAGTAAAATGTACTAAAATGAATGAATATGACAAAATATTAACTAAATTCAAATGATATTTTCCTCAAAATTCGTAGTGTAGTGATGTAATATGAAATATGATTAAATATTTTTTATTTAAAGGACATTTTTATTGAAAGACAAAAACCATGACTATAACAATCTGTAAAAACTGAAGAATAAGAAGTTGCTCTTTTCCATTCAACAATACACAACCGTTCCAAAGTTTGGGGTTGGTAAGATTTTGTCAAAAGAAGTCTCTTCTGCTTACCAAGTTCAAAAGAAAAGCATAGAAACATTATAAATTTGATCAATTTAAATCCTTGGTGAATAAAATAATGAATTTCTCTAAAAGCAAAATCTTACTGAACCTTGACTTTTGAACTGTGTAACCCCAAAATGCACCATTAACATAGTAAATGTAGTCATGTGGTAACCATATTGAGTGTCTTCTATAACCAAAACCTTGTCATAAGTCATTTTTATTTCATTAATTCATGCTTGCCCAAATTCAAGTCACTGGTCAAATTCAACTTTTGTTTTATGGAAAAGAGCACCCTGGACAATCCTTAGATAAATAACTCCTTTTCTGATCCAAAGTAAAAAGCAAATAAGATTTCAAATGAAATAATTGTTAGTAAATGGTGACAAAAGTTTAGCCGCATTATAGATCAAACAAGACTAACCGAGGGAGCTCCTGTTTGTGTTGCAGGCTGCAACTTTAAGTCTACTGCCACTGTCTGTGGTGGAGGTAAATTCTGAAAAGGCAACTGAACTACAGCTTCAGGGGTTGGGTGCTCCTCTTCAGACACCATGTGGTCAGACTGGACAGCTACGGTCTGAACTGAGCGTAAAGAGAGTCTCTGCGGCTGGACCGGCCTAGGCAGACCCATGGTGAGAGGAGGAGGGCAGGCCAGAGGTGAATGCTGGGAGACCGGCTCTAGCACCGGGCCCAGATGAAGGGGTGGAGGGTCAGGGAGCGCTGCAGGAGGAACTGTGGACATAGACACAACTGCTGACTGATTGGCTGGTTGATTCACAGAGGAGGGCACTGAGAGGAACTCTGTGTGCTGTGATTGGACAGTGGCAGTAGTGGGAGTGGTACGGGTCTGCAGGGCAAGGGGTGGAGGAGAGCTGTCCTGCGGTGTGACACGCAGTGCAATGGGCTGGACCTGTCTGTGAGCGGAGGAGCTCTGCTGGATGATGAGCTGGTGTGGCGTCAGCCTCTGGCTGGAAGGGCAGTGCAGCTGGTGTCTGACCAGTGTATGAGACTGGACTGGTGTGAACGTTG